CCCTCACACCCCTCACACCCCTCCACACCCCCTCACACCCCTTCACACCCCTCCACACCTCTCCACATCCCTTCCACACCCCTCATTACTGTATGAGGAGAAAGGAGCCTTTCACTCAAGTGCTGGCTGTCCTTCCCCGACCTCTTCACCTCACTCCCAGGCGGACAAGGGGGCCCAGGCACAGCAAGAGTGGGAGAAAAGAACAGGACTGAGGGCCTGGCATGCTGCCTTCGTGGGCATGGCATTGGCACCTGAGGAGGAGCTGGGCTGGCAGCTGATCGGCCAATGGCATGAGCGCTGAGGAACTGGGGGGCAGGGATGCAACGTGTGTGGACGCTAGGTACGGCTCTTTCCTGTCTCCCTTGCACCCCTGTTCTCTTGCTTCTCTTTCTTTGTAGAGTGAAACCCAGTTTTATACATGAACGGAGCCTGGAAAATGCATCCAAGTGGGAACGTGCAAAAGTGAAATGTAGACTTCCATATTGCAAGGGGGTTTCCACTCCCAGAAAGGTAAACAAGGCTCTAACATTCCTGATGGTGCCCTGTGCATTAGACATGTTTTTCAGTACCACAGTTTTAGCAGTTTACATGTGCTCCTTACATGGGAACAGGCACTTGTTCTTCTTAACCGATAACGGTCCTGTTGAAGAGATAGATTGCTTTGGGTACTACTAGTAATCTTTAAACTGTTTCAGTTTTATTAAATTTAGTAAGAGACATACATCTCATCACAAATATCATTACTCTCATTTGTTTTCTTCTCGTTTGAGAGAAAAATAGAACAAAGGCAAGTGCAATAAAACACTCAAGTAGCCATAGAACAAGTATTGCCGAACTAAGCAGCTGATACCACAGACACGGATCCACCGGCTGGTGGGCAGCACTGTGAGAGGGTTTGAAGTACTCACTCATTCACCAAAGTCTGTGTTGGTCATGTGACAGGCACTTAGGGAAATCCAGCCCTTGTCTGGAATAGGGGGATGTGTCCTGTAAGTGGGAGCTGTGACCCACCCTGCCTGTTGGCCCTCAACACCCATTCTAACTCCTCTCCCTTGCCGAGCTATTTAAAGCCTGGGGAACTAGAAACCACTGTCCTGCACTTCCTTGAAGCTCTGCTAAACACAGGCACCTGTGTGAAACCCAAGGTGAGGCTCGGAAGGCGGAAGCGAGAAATATAGGTTAGAGCTACCCTGGCAGGTCAGGTTTCAGTAGCTTGGCGGTGGGTTCCCACTGCCTGGTCCCTAGGGTGCCCGGGTAGGGGTGGTGGGCAGCGGCAGCAATGGAACTTCTTAGTGCCATTCTTCTCAGAACTCTTAGCTGCGTTGTTCATGGCTCCTGGCAGCCCACCTGTTTCCTTATCCCCAGAAGTTCTGTCTGCTTCTTACTCAGACCCTGTCATCAACACTTTTGCTTTTATACTCACTCTCTCCAACTTGGGAATTCTTACCAAGGGATTACCCAAATCAAAGCTTCCAGCCCGGGCTCCAGGAGATCTAGCGTGACGTTATCCGCTTTTATAACTAGAGTGGGTTCTGCTATCTCCAACTTGGGAATTCTTACCAAGGGATTACCCAAATCAAAGCTTCCAGCCCGGGCTCCAGGAGATCTGGCGTGACGTTATCTCTTCAAATCCCCTGAAGTTGGGGCCTGTCTCTTGTTTTATTCTCTTCCAGTTACTGTTCACAGGTTTGACCTCTTCTTCCCATGCGCTCTGATGTTTACCAGTCAGCACGGCTCCAGCACTCCCTACCTGACGGCTGGCTTTTGCCCTGTTTTCTCATCCGGTTCCTTGGAGGTGTTTATTTTGACAGCCAGCCTCACAGTCTCCCTTAGCACTTTTGGAGCACCAGTCGGGTTCTGTTCACAACAGGCTGCCTCATGGCGCTGTCACTTGGCGGTTTTTTTGGACAGCGATCACCATGAGGAAGTAAACACATTGACTTGCGCAACTCAAAACGGACAAACAAACCGCAAGTGCTCATTGATCCAGAGCTGCCAGCACGGCATGCTGTGAGAGCTCCCATCGGCCAAGGGCGCACAATAATACCCCACCCCTGGCTAACAGG